CAACCACAACTCTGAGGAATGCTTTTTATCCGTCTATTGAAAGAGCTATTTTATCAACTGAGTTTTAATTGCTAGTTTAATAAGAGCTAGGTCTGTGATTGGATCCATTAATAAATGCTTTAGACTTAAAATTTTTTTCTGAACTTTTCAAAATTCTCATATACATACACCTGGGAATTACACACACACACACACACACACACGCACGACCTTACTAAACATTCTTTGGGAATATTACTATATTGAAATGTAAACTACACAAAATTTTAAATTATTTTGTCCTACTGGCAATGTTAGTTGATGTTATATGTTAAGAACAACACAGATTTGTTAGAAATGGAATATAAATTATTTTGTGTTGTTCCTTTATATAAACAAATAAAAATTTAAAAATCCAACTACAGAAGATGGGAAATAGAGAACTAAATATGTTCATTACTAAAAAGTGTGACAAAAATTAATGTGATATAATTTTAGAAGAAATAATTTTTTAATCATTTATTTTATCCAAAGGTCTTTCACATATTCTCTGTTTTATTATTTCTATCATAATGATAATGGTAACTAACTGAAGTAAATACAAAGTATTTTTAATTTATCCATTTGTTAGGATCAGAAAAGGAAAGATATTTCCTTTTTTTTTTTTTTTTTGGGAAATGAGGACTGAACTCCGGCCCTTGTACTTGCCAAGAAAGTGCTTATTCTACTGAGCCAACTCCCTGGCCACTGCTTCCTTTTTTTTTTCTGGTCAAGCCTCGTTTATTCAAGGAAGTCTCAGAGAATTTATAGGAAGCGGGGAAGAAGAGGGAGGAGTGATTATACGTCATCAGGTCGCTAGGCACGGGGGGGTGGTCTCTAGGGTGGAAATCAGGCAAGTGACTTCAGGGAAATGGCTCGGAGGGGAAACAAACTTAGCTCTGGGAAGGTCACAAGACAACAGATTAAATGCAGCAGTCTGTAGTATGAGGCCAAGCATTGGTCTCCCACAGGTCCCCCTTTCTTTTAATATAAAATGGCCAAGAAATGACTGTGTCCTTGAGGAGACTGTGTCTGGCTTGGGTCAGGGAGCATGCACAGCACCCCAACTCTACCTTACCCGTCATTGGAAGGCTGGACAGCATAAGGCCCAGTTCCTGTCTTAGGCGGTGGTTGGTGACACGTGTGAGTCCCAGTCGCCCGTCTCTGACTATCCAGTCTATCGCACCAAGGTGAGAAAGCTGAGACACTTAAGGTTCAGTGACATCACTGCTTCCTTTTTTAAATGGCATCTTTAGACAGAAAATACAGCTCAGTGATCAGCACGTGGCTTGCAGGCATAAAGCTGTGTTTGATTCCAAGCACAAAAAAAGAAAGAAAGAAAGAAAGAAAGAAGAAAGAAAGAAAGAAAGAAAGAAAGAAAGAAAGAAAGAAAGAAAGAAAGTCAAATAGCATCTTTTCATTGATATTTTATCTTTTTATTTATTATTTTAGAATTTCATGAAGATACGACCTCCTAAAAACAGAAGGGAAATATTAACATCTTTAAATTTTAATAGGAAAATTCAGTATATGTTAATTTATTAAATGAATTACATTTTAAAATAATTTCTGAAAATTTATTTTGTCCACATTGTTGTAAGTAGCTGGTACAGTATCCATAGTTAGTAACCAGGGAGGAGTTAGGAATAATTGCACTGTGCTCAGCTTCAATTTTACCCTCTATATCCTTTAAGATATGCAGCAGGGAAGCACCAGCTACCCATGGGCCCTCTCTGAGAAAGAACAGAAATGGAAATGGTGCTGCTCAGGATTTTCATGAAATTCTAATTTGTTCAGTAAGAGAACAAGATAAAAGTGTCAGAGATATGTATGCCAGGAGACTAGGAACAGTAATAACTTCTTTAGAGTTAATATATCCTCAGATTTCAAACTTAGTAACAAACACGTTTTATATATCCCTGTCAGAGGGCATTAACATAGAATGTATGCAACAGTTGCTTGTAGATGGTGAGAAACTATGACTGTATAGAAAGTAATTTAAGCCATTTCCTGTCCCTGACTGACAGCTGATGGCCTTGACAAAGAGCATTATTTGTCGAGCTTTGGTGCTGTCCTAACATCTATGATAATATCATGGAGCAATTTAGTTCCCTAAACCAGGAATATGGATAATCTCTCTCTCTCCTCTCTCTCTCTCTCTCTCTCTCTCTCTGTCTCTCTCTGTTTCTGTCTCTGTCTGTCTCTCTTCTCCCTCCCTCCCTTTTCCTTCTCTTTCCCTCCCTCCGTCCTCCTTCCCTGCTTCTCTCCCTCTCTTTACCTCCTGCTCTCTTTCCCTCCCCCCTCTTCATATATATATTTATGAAAATATATCTTGCAAAGAACTATATCTTGCTAAATACATTTTCTAGTAAACAAATAGGAGTAAAATAATAGCTTCTGTGTTATTTTCATATAAATTATGATCTGTTAAAGATCAATGTTAGAGACATATCTCAAAGGGGCTCAAATGCTTAAATATTGGAGTAATTTGAAGTAGAGAAATCCTTGAAAACATTGCTAAATGTGACATCTGATGTTAAAAAATTATGACAGTTTCAGAAATTATTAAACTTTTACATTACTTTCAATTTTATAATAAAACAAATAGGTATATGGATGACAAAAAAGAGCAAAGCAGCACCACCTCAATATTGTGGTGCTGTTATAGCTCATTAACCACTCAACACTAAATTTATTTATTCCTCTAATTTATTTATAAGAATGACAATTTAATTTTCAGTTAAATTCTGTGACTGTGAAATATGTGATTTTAAAGCCTATATCAAGGCAGCTATAGAACAGAAGGTAAAATGTATTGGTTGAATTAAGGTATCTGCTATACAATTTTGGGATTATCTATCTTTATATGTGCAGGTATTCATTCACATTTTGTACATACTATAACTCTCTGCCACTTCACAACCACATAAAATGATTTGTACTTTTGTAAGTCGTAGGGACCCATGGTACTGTAATAAAAATGTATTTTCTGAAAATTTGACCTTGTAAGAATAAATTCTTATTTTTACCTCAGGTTTTAGCTGACTTACAGAAAAGTGAATAATCACAAAACCTCTTCTTCTATAATTTTAATCCATTACCATAGGATGCCTTTTTTTGTCCAATAAAAACAGAAGTTCCTTTTGATTTATCAAATTTTTGAGAAAATAAACGCATAATATATATTGAATTCAGAAAAATAATAGAAAATTCTGAACAACGTCATTGAGAAATCGAGTCATCAGAATCTCATTAGGCTAAAATAATACTTTAATGATTGAAATGGAAAATTCCAATTGTTTCTAATAATAACAATGGTGATAGTCTTTCTGGTCAATTGTTATAAACACTAATACAACTGTTGCCCTCAATGTAGCCACAGAACTTGCTGCAAATTCCAGAAGAGTCTTTTCTGTTTTCCTATAGAAACTGCTATTTACAGCTATTATAATAAAATAAGATAATAATACACAAAATAATAAATAAAAATAATTTATAATTGAGAGACACCCAAGGGGCCATGTAGAATTTTAAAATATTCTTAAGGTGTTTAATAATGTATACTAGAGGAAACCCTTTCCTGGCCCGCCTTCACACACTACACACTTCCCATACTACAGCACACATACCTAGACTATCATCAAGGGCATCTATGTAGAAATGTGTAAGAAAATAGGGTATCTTCTATTCCAACGTATGAATAAAAATATTTTGAAACTATTTTGAAAACAAAGAACATATTCATGGAAAGGGAATTAAAGAGATACATTTATTGGATCATGTAACAATTTTATTTTATTAAAGAATATGGATTATTTTTGTGAGGGGATTTTAATGCCAAGGCTCTCATCACGGCAAATTTTGTTAGTAAGATGCATTTGTAACCTTAGCATTGATACAGTCATGCACAACACAGTAGATTCACACTTAAAGAAAATAGAAAAAATTGAGAGGCAAAGGAATAACAATTTTGTTAAGATTTTGCTTTTTTCCATAAGATACTCTTTTTATTGATTTTGTGAACATACCTATTTTTGCACTATAATCAAATACTGTACAAAATTGCAAGAAATGCCACTAGTTGACTACTTATTTTTCTACAAAACAATCATTATTAAGGTGCGTCTATTGTTACAAGCCAACTAATAACTGCTAATGTACACATCAATTAAAAGTATCTTAAGATTGCCATAAAACTTTGAGTGTAGGCAAATAGTTGTTAACTTTTACTAGCATATTTCAGGGACATAAAGAGTATTTTTAAATATTAAAATAAAAATAAATTTTAACATTAATTCATAATTATATAAAATTGTGGCTTCTAATTTCAGTGAGTGTGTGTTTGTGTAAGTCTGTGTATATGATATAGTCCACAACTGTTAGTGATGTTTTAAGTTCTTGATTTAAAAATGCTCAACTCTTACCAAAACCTTTTCTGGTATACAAAGCTGTTGTAAATTTGAGTCAGTGAAATTTAAAGTTGCATTTTACAAAAGCAGATACATATTGATTCTTGTCTGAAAGAGCTGTTTTCAAATCAGAAAAATGTGCCAACTAACTGCCCTTTCCTTTATAATTAGTGGCTTCTGAATCCTAAAGAAAAGAAGCCTTAAGGCAGAATTTGCAGTAAACAGGAAAGAAGAGAATCATGTAAGTGCTCATCTATAGTCTGGACACCTATTAATTCTCAGCACTTGGAGTTTTTGGCACAGTTTTCTAATCCAATAATGAACGTGGTTCCACAGCAGCCAAACTGGGTAAGCTTTCAGTCTCCAGCACCAAAATGGAAAGAAAGAAAGAAAAAAGAAGAAAAAGGAAGGAAGGAAGGAAGGAAAGAAAGACAGAAGAAAGAAAGAGAAAGAAGAAAGAAAGAAAGAAAGAAAGAAAGAAAGAAAGAAAGAAAGAAAGAAAGAAAGAAAGAAAGAGAGAAAGAAAAAAGATGAATGGACAGGAAGGGTGAAAGAAAGAAATTAGCTGATAAATTTCAGTACAACACATACTTGGAAAGAGTAAGACACATTTATTCATTTTTTAATTTAAGGTAGTTTGAAGTGAATGAAATAAGTCATAGGATTTCAATTATTATTTTCAAATGAATTCTGAAGCTAAAAATATACTGACCATGACATTCCAGTAGTTACTAAATTGTAGGCATAATTAACATCCTGTCAGGGTGACTCATAATTATTTGAGCTTGTCATGCGATAATATGTACATGGTTATAGATACTCTACAGAGTAATTAAAAGCTGATTTCAAATCTCTAGTTTTTTTTTTTTTTATGTATGTCAAGCTTCCAATTATATTAGCAGGGCCTCTGAGCCCTTGTGGAGGGAAGTGATGGTGCAGATATGAGATTCTGCTAAGAATTTATCTTAAGTGACATTATCTTCTATTTTAATCATTTTTAATTAATAAAAAAATCCCTAAATGAAAACATTCCATAAAGGATAATGTAGAATCCCAATTTTCATCATTATTAGAAGAATATGAAATAAATCAGGTCTTCTGAAAACCACTATAAACCATATCCCAGGATAAATCTTTAAAAAAGACAATGGCTCTTTTTAGCTTGGGGTGCTTCTGCCCACATTTCCATAAGTTAGCAAATGCATATCTCTGTTAAAGTTCTACTGGTAAGCTAGGTCACTATATACACACTGTACATATTGGTGGACAAATTAGCAGTTATTAGTCAGACTGTACACAGCAAAACAAACCAAGTGTAAAGTATATATCCCAAAGATGACTTGTGTCTAGATTGAAGGACTGACCCCTAATACAGGCTCCCTGTTTAAATACGTAGCCCAGTAAACTAAATTAAATGTACCAAACAAAACTGGGAAAACTATTCTGGACATTCTGTCAATTTTGCTAACACTGTTGAAAGTTTTCTTGGCTTCTGCTGGCTTGTTATCCGGCTTCTTATTGGGTTCTGGTGTGGTCGCACTCTTGGAGATGGTGGAAAGAACTGGATCTTTTGAAAGATTTGGGGCATAATTGGCAACAGCCACCGCATAAGCATTGTTCTGTATCATGACAGATGCCTTCTCTTTTTTCTGTTGAAAAACATAAGAATTAATAAAGTTTGAGTTGAGCCTACAGTTTACCACCTTCCAAATGCCTGTTGAAATTCTGTAAAAGCGTACTCTGATACTTAAAAACTGTCGACTAGAAAGAAGAAATGTGGGAACATAAATAAGGAACATAAATACGTTAAAACCATTAAACTGAGAAAATTTACAGAGTAAAACCAATGGTACTACTTGTCTGGAGAACATGCTTGTTATTAATATAGAAAATAACAGAACATACAATTCTAATAAATATTACAGTTTCTATTCTTATGACTTACTTAACTATTTGCTGAATTAAGGAATGAACAAATATGTGAAATGTAGACTTTTTTAACAGGAAAAAATGATTTTTGGGCAGGGAATGTAGCTCAGTGGCACATGTGTCTGACTGGCAAGCACAAGGTCCTGAATTCAATTCCCAGTACAAACAAAGAAACAAACAAACAAACAAGCAAACAAAAGAATAGAAAAAGAATGATCATCTACAATGAATGATCCCAAATTTCTACTTGATATTAAGATTTCACTTCATCTCATATCAAAATGGTACAATAATGCTTTACTTAGATGGTAGGAAATTATAATCTTATATGGCTAGCACAGTGAAAAATACTCAAAGCATATAAAGGAAAGGAAATACCAACTCTTAGGTTGTTGCATAAGGCATTCCTGATCTGTTTCATTTTATAATCGTCAGTTCAGCTGCTGACAGTACCTACCTGGGTCATTACTATTTCTGCTGAATCAAATAATTCTTCTTCTTGATTGGTCTGAACATGTCTTATCATTAGACACACTAGAGCCACAGGGTTCTCTTCAAGAAATACATTAGATCACATCGCTCTTACTTTAAACTGTATCTCATGAAACTTAGAACAACTACATTTTCTACCACTACATCTTTTCCATTATGTGCAAATTCTACTGTGATAACCAGTTTTCTACCATTTCTACCCTTCTGTGCCCTGGCCATGTCAGCTCCCCAGCCTGGAATACTTTCTTCCTAGCTCATTTGTACATGACCTCTTCTGCTTTAGTCTGTTTTGAAAGTGATTTTCTCACTTTTCACTTGAAGAGAACCCTGTGGCTCTGCTCATTATGTCTTTACTACTCTTGTCTGCTCCTTAAAGTACCCAAAATTATTCCCATACTTTCCACTTTTTGAAAGTATGTAAGTTATTTCTTAGTAATGTGATTTTATATATATATATATATATATATTTTTTTTTTTTTCCTCTCAGGACTTAAGCTTATCGAAGGCTTATGCTGTTTCTGTCTTAGCAATGAGCATGAACCCTTCCACCAAACACAAAAAATAGTTTATTTAATGAAACCCACTAATATAAATAGTACTTATCAGTCTGTATCTAATATGAGTATATGGTGAGTTATCTAAATGAAAAACAATTTAAATCAGCAATAAATTATCCAAAATAGTGCTCGGTATAAAGCCACAGTTGTCATATAGGACAACTCAGAAGAGAATTGCTTGTACTAGTTTTTCTAATTGTGAACACTCAGAATGTTCAAACAAAGATTAAAGTATCTCTAAAAGTACAGGAGGATCTGAAAACAGGGTCACTTATCTTTCACTGAAGTACATTCATTCCCTGCCTGTTTTCCCTGCTGATATTCCTGCAGAGCCAGCCTCAGCGTTCAGGGAAAGGGGATGGGGAACTACCATGTACCACTTTGTAAAACAGTAACACGTCTTGTCTTCATCGTGCTGATATAGTTCTCTTGTGACAAATGGAGAATAAGTGTGTATTTGATTTTTAAAAAGACAGATACAGTGTCTAGCCCTGAGATGTCAGGTCGAGTGAGTCAGCCATGAATACTGTCTCGAGCTCACTAATGAGAAGGAAGTAAGTTTAATTTTAACCTTAGATATAATTTCAGAAATGGGAGCTAATGAGCAGTTGAATCCTGACCAGCTCAGCTGGCTACTAAATGTCTGAAAAGTCGCTCAATTAAATTCATCCAACTTACTACAGAGCCTCTGTGATTTAATTGTTCTGTATGACTTTTGTCATATTAAGTTATTTGAGATTTAGGAGTTTTTTTTTTTTTTTTTTTTTTTTTTTTGTAAAATGTTCAACTAAAGTTGGTATAACTTGGTAACTGTTCAAAGAAGTCAATCTAATATTTCTTTGGAAGAAATAATGTAGTGTGAAAAAGAATCTCAACGAAGGTCTTTTTGGAAGTGGGATATTTAAATTTCATAAATAATCATGGTATAAGATTTAGGCAAAGAATCATACAAAACTATGGACTGAATTTTACCAATATCGCTCTCCACCCCCTACAAATACCTCTCAATTACATCTATCTCTTAAAATAATTATAAACATGTTCAGGAAACTAGGCTAGGGCAACTAATCAAGCAGATATTCTGACTGACCAGGAAGGTACCAGTACTACATAAGCAGAAAGGCTTCATCAGCAGGCACAGCCAAGTGTCAGTGCCACCTGCTGCTCTGACAGCGGGTTGTGTTTCATCTAATGCTGCAGCTTCTCCAAAGAGCTGCACTAAACATAAACTCCCATAGATGTTGTTGATTTAGGTATAAAGACAAAATCCATCTTAATTTGTTCATTTTTCAAAACATGTCTTCAATAGCTGAATATAACTGTAAACCTCAGAGAATTGTCAACATTAAACAAAGTGATGATCTTGGCTTCAGCGCTCTCCCCGCAACTTGGAAACATTACCATTTTGAGGACAAGTAGCAATCAAAATGCAGAAGCCATATGTTGTATCTGTAGTCAGTATCCCAGCGCTGGCACCTGGAATTTCTTACTAATTCACTGAATGAAGGGCAGAGTGTGCAAATGGTGCCACCTCTCCTGAATTCCTAGACAACACACCGCAAAGTGTTTTCTGGCTGATAACCTACCAGTCTTATTTTAAGGCAGATAATATTTCCACTTAGTCTACTTGAAAATAATAACCATGGAGCTATCTTAAAGCAAACTGTGTTCTTGAGTAAAGCTAAATGTATACAGAGCAAAAATATATAGCTGACTTGCAATTCTAAGATTTTCTAAAGCAGAATATCAGATTAAGTATTCACAATGTATTAATTTATTTAAAAGAGAATAGAGGGCCAGGAGGATAACTAAGTAGAATAAGCACATGAGTGGCAAGCACAGGGTCCTGAGTTCAATCCCTAGTACAAAAAAAAGAAAGAAAAAGAGAAAGAGAGAGAGAGAGAGAGAGAGAGAGAGAGAGAGAGAGAGAGAGAGAGAAAGAGAAAGGAGAGAGAGAAAGAGAAAGGAGAGAGAGGGAGAGAGAGAAAAAAATAGAAAAATAATAGACAAAACATTAGAAATTATACACAATACCACAAAAAAGAGGTATGCAGAAGTGGTTGTTATACTGCACATCGTTTTCTTCAATTTGTTGCTCAGATTACCAGATATAAGCATGTAAAATTGGTCAAAGTAAAAATTTTAAACATTAACTGCTACCTTAAAAATGGTAGAAATTAGTAGTACAATCATCTTAGCTATCTTGTTCACAATGTATTTGTTAGTGTTCTTATAAGTGATGGCACTGATTGGCTAGTTACTCTCTTCTGCATGTTGAGAAGGCATGATATTAGCAGTACTACCAAAAGATTGAGCCATTACCATGAGCTATTGCACTGAACTAGTTATTAATGGCTTTCAAAAGAACTTTGCTGAGGGTTCCCCATGTTATTAAGGAAAGCTATTTGAACATAATGTGGTTTAAGCAAGATCATCAGCAGGCTGTATCTGCAGGACTTATGACCTTGACCTCTCTAAACTATTTTTATTTTATATAGTGTAGCCCTGGCCTTATACTCAAATCCATTAAGAGAAGTAGTACAATGAATCCTATTTTTCTAAGTGTCGCAAAGTGCATTCATGACCATGAGGTAATTTTTAATATTCTTCTATAATTTTTGTTTCACTTGAGACTTATAATAGTCTAGTACTTCATAATACCTAACTTACTACAATCAATTTTAATCTAATGTTACATGTATTTTGAAATGTAGATGAATTATCTTATGTCACCCAGAGAAAAAGACCAGCTGCAGCAGAAAACAACAGAACAGATTGGGTTCCTAAAGTAAAAGTTTCAAAAGTAACCTTAAAAGTAAAGAATGCAATGAACATGGAGGGGAAAGAGCAAATTAATAATGTTTCTTCCTATTAATTTTGAGCAAATCACAGTTTTACATAACTATACATAGACAACTAATAAAATATTTCTCTAAAATTATTGTTTCAATTTATTTGATCGCCTACATGTCCCAGGGTAAGAAATATATAAACTTTCCAAATATACACTCAACTCAAATGCTTGTTTACTTCTTGCCCAAATACACACACCCTTCCACACACATCTTTAACCTGCAAATGATACTATAGCTCAGCCCAGAGCTGAAAGTTAATTTCACACTGGTCCTTGAGTGAGATACATTTTGCCTTCTTCTTATTAGCAGAGGAGTGCTGGGTGATATTTACTAAGCTATCACGTTCTATTGACCTCACAAAGTAGGTACCCTCCATGTTCTTGCACGGAACTCTGGAAGATAACCTTAGAACATGTACGTGTATTTTGTTCCTTTTTCTCTTCCTATCATTTAATATAAGTTTAATAAAGACACGAACTGTGTTCTGTGGAACTTTGAGTACAGTTGCTGGCCAAATATAGGTTCTAAAAAATTTCTGGGGCTAGGGATATAGCTCAGGTATACAAGGGCCTGCCTGGCATGCCCAAGGTCCTGAGTGCTATTCCTGCTTACAAACACAAACAAAACTTCCATAATGATAAATGAATTACTATTAATGCAATGACTACTGTGGTAAGGAAGTGTATGTATAAAATGTGAAACATAACATGTTTCATAGAATAGGTTAAATATGCTGTTGGAGAGAAAGAGAATTCAATAGCTTGTCTTCAATTCTATGTAACTATTCTCCAAATCCCCTATTTTATTACATAGAAA